CTGATTTGGGCTTGGGCAACCGAGGCGGACAGAGAAGGAAGCATTAACATTTACCTGCGCCATCATGTCTACGAGAGGTCGCAGAGTGAGGTTCTTGCCGGCACCGTCACGTAGGTAGTGCAGCAGACTGCCGTGGGGCATCAACTCCGTGATGATGAGGATGGGGTCCTCGATGCAGACCGCGTAGAGACGCACCAGTCGCGGATGCCGAGCCGCCTTCATGATTCGGGCCTCCTTGAGGAATTCCTCCGTGGACATGGTACCCGGTTTCAGCATCTTCACCGCGACCTCTGTGGTGCCGTTCCATGTGGCTGAAAAGTGGGATACGGGGGGGGCAAGAAAAACACACATGAGCCATTGTCATACAGAAGGCTGCCAAAAGGCTAATAGGGAGGAAGGAGGCGAATAAGGTGGAGGGCTTGTTGTAACGGGGGCCCGGGCCAATAACGCCTTGTGTGAGTCCCCCTAGGAAGAACACGACAACTAGTGTGCAACAGCAGAAGTCTTTGAGTGTAATAGGTACAACGTATTTAGGACAACAAACCGTTAAACACGATGTCCATTGAGCCAATCAGCTCCTCTCCTGAAGCAGTCGCCGGTAGGATTGGCTGGTGAGTCAACGGCTGACTGTAGTTTGAATTTCAATTTATCGATTGACTGACTGCACGATGCGTTCGCGTGTAGGCCGATCGATATCCTGCCGTGTATGGGCTATCGCTCGCAAGCTACTGCTTGCTAAGGCTGTTCGTTAGGCCGTCCTAATAGGGGGAACTGCATTAGTCCTTAAATTCAGATTTGATAGGTCCAATACGCGTAGTAATCCTAGTTTCTATAATGTGATTACAAGGAAGCGGGTTATCCAGTAGCCTAACTGCTGGCCCGTCCACCAGTGACGTATAGTAGAACGGCCTTCAGCCAAGGTTAGCTGTGAAATAAGCAGACTCCTCGGTGCGACGAATAAGCAGTCGCGGAGAAACAGCGACAGGATTGACGTCTGACGCACCGCGACTGCCTTATAAAAT